AAATAATCACCAAAATACTTTTTTAAAAATAAAAATGACAAAACATTTCCCAGGATCTCTGCTGAGGAGTGTCACAGGGGAAGAAAAACTCTTTGTGATCAAGAGACCAAACTTCAAAACACCCAAACTGCACAGCTCCGCGGGGCACCTTTCTGCAGGATTATTAATAAGAAATAATAGTTTTAAATGCAGAAAAGTCTGTGTACTTTCTATTGCCTTCCAAAGCCCTGCATCACTTGTCCTTAATGAATAATGAAAGATGCTTTTGTATTGCTTCCCACCCATAGACTTTCAAGTGATTGTTAAGCAATAATAAATAGGACTGGAAAGAAAATCAGGGCTTGATGAAAACTTAATTTTGGGCTARTAAGAGCAGCACCTGCTGTTGCACAAGTTTACAGACGTTCCTGGGGCTTGGGCGGGTGGAGAATTTTGGTGAAAGCTCTGAATGTTCCAACACTGGAAAAACACCACTAAATGATTCTGAAATGTTATGCAGCCCTGTAGGTATTATAATTTGGTGGCCTTTGAACCTCCACCTGGAAGGAAACCCGGACATGTCATGCCCAGGAGAGGCATTTTGATCTCCTGCCCTGCTGTGATGCTGATCTCACTCTGAGGGGGGATTTACCAGGAAAAGCCAAACCCAGAGGGGACATTGTTTAATGAGGAGAGAGAGCAACATCCCAACACAGACTGTGGGATTTGGATTTCATGGAAAAACAATGTGTTCCACCTGGAAGCTGATGCGGCTTTCAACCCTGCCAGGGCAAGCCCACCCTGCAGGTGAAAAACTGAAGTTTGGAAGGAACATCATTCAGTTTTGGCTGAAGGGATCTTAAAGCTCATCTCATCCCACCTCTGCCATTGTCAGGGAGGCTTTCCACTGTCCCAAGGTCCAAACCGGTCCAGCCTGGCCTTGGGCACTGCCAGGGATCCAGGGGCAGCCACAGCTTCTCTGGGCACCCTGTGCCAGGGCCTCCCCACCCTCCCAGGGAACAATTCCTTCCCAATATCCCATCTATCCCTGCCCTAGCCATGAGTTGCCCTAGAAAAATTAAGCTGAAAAAAGAGTAAATTGCTCGAGTTTGGGTTGGTAGCTACCTCCAGCCAACAGCCAGATAGGTCTTGATTTTGGGAACAGAGTTCACATCCTTGGTCTCTGCTGCTGACCAACCCAACCTTCACACGTGTCTTCTGAGCACTCCCACCTGTCCCATCAGGAACCAGCAATATATTGGGTATTTTTGTGTATCCAAACACTTAAACACTGCTGTCATCCTGTTGGGATCAATAGGGAAAACATCAGAGGGGATTTACCTCTGCCTTGATTGTCAAATGGATCATTTGTGCTGTGGCAGTCTCCCAGACATGTAACAGGAATAAATTTCTGCTCTGAAAGGGCTGCCCAGGGCAGTGAGGGGAGTCCCCATTCCTGCAGGGATTTAAARGCMRTGAKGATGTGGCACTTGGGGACATGGCTTAGTGSTGGRCYTGGCAGTGCTGGGGGAACGGTTGGACTGGGTGATCTCAGAAAGCTTTTCCCACCTCAGCGATTCTGTGATTCTATCATTCATGACTGTGATGGGT